GGTGATGAATCCAAGCCACCCCTTGCATAGACCCGATTTCTTCCTACGAAAATAGGGGAAATTGGGGGCTTTAGATGCTTTGTGTGCTTGATAGACTTGGAATTGATTCATCACGAAAGTGGGGCATTTCCTTGTCCTAATCCTTGTTTATTAATCACGAGAATGGTTCATAGACTAGGATACCTACGTGCATTCCCGCTTGATTCCTTGGTTACTTGTTCTCCCTAATCCCTTAGGTTGTTAAAGCATCTAGATGATAATGCTCCCTAGCTTGAGTCCTATCTCTTTATTTTGTGTTTCCATCTTGTTCATATGTGTTTTTGTTATTTTGTTTAGTTACCGTAGCCTTAACCTTGTTATGATTTGCTTAGCTTCTTGTTGATTTTCTTATGCTAGTGCCTAGTTTCTTGTGTTTGCATATTGCGTGCCATAACCCCCAATCCCCTGAGGACGACATTACACACCCGTACACTCACCATCACTCATTTTTGCTACACATCAGGTCTACCCGAAGACATGAAGAAAACAAGACGGACGAAAGATCTTTGAAGACAAAAGATGTAAGAACAAACTTTCGGATGAGCAACCATTTGACAAAGAGGATCTCTCATCAAAGAGAAAGGTCGAAAGATAAGGATAATATTTCGAAAAACCTCACCGAGAAAATAAGTTTAAGATAAACTTATAAGGACAACCTTCATTTAGTGAAGCAAGAAGAATGTTATTTGTGACTCAAAGTTGGGCAATCATTCGGGACAAAAAGGTGTCCTAGGAATGATTTTCACAAAGGATAAGGAGCATTAAAAGACTTGTATCATCTTGTCAAAGAACAAGGACAAAAGTCATAACGCTTTTGGCTCCAACGGCTACACAATACAAGTGCATTAAATGCTCGGTGCCCACTGGTTAATACTCACTGGTTATTAGGTTTGAAATCTTCATCTCCCTCCAACGGATGAATTTTTCCCACCTATAAATACCTCTCTTCACCATTGAAGAAGGTGTTGGTTATTTTCAACAATTGCTATTCATCGAAAAAGCTCTTCAAACAGTTTCATCTCTTAAAGCTTTTCATAACCAGTGATTCTGTGAAGTTTTCAAAAAGGCTTATCCATCATCCCCACTTCACAAAAGTTGAAGAAGTCTTGCATCTTTTCAGTAAAGATCCATCCAGATATCAAGACAAGGCTTCAACCTGTTGGAGAAACACAACATCATCTTTCCAACACTCAACTCTTAGGAAGAAGTTGATAGAGGCGGAGTAAACTCAAGGAGTTGAAAAACCTATCAAGTGGTTGGGTCCAGCTTAGTGATCAAGGAAGCCAGCTTGAAGTAGTTTGTACTAGGAGTGATAGTGCAAACCCTTTCACAAGTTGTGAAAGAAGAGTGGAGTAGGCTTCGTTAACAGCTGAACCACTATAAAAATCTCTCTCTCCATATCTCTTTAAATACTGCGCTTTATCTTTCATGCATTGCATGTTATATCGACCAAATACTAAAATTTTCTAGCGAAAGTGTGCAAAGTAAAAACTAAGACGAAACCTTTATTCCGCTGTGCATCACTCTGAAAGGAGCAACTTTGAAAAATCGATTAGAGTCTATTCACCCCCTCTAGACTCTCTTTCGACCCTACCGGGACCAACAAGTTATTATATTATGTTCTATCATCTAGAATTTTCCTTGTTCTTTAAGTTTTGCTAATCTTTTTTATAGTTTTTCTTATAGGTTCAATTAATTGTGATTTCATTTCACTTGTATCCATCATCATAGGTTCTATTTCTCCTCTCCAAACATCATATATAGGTTCTATTTCTCTTCTCCAAGCATTATAAGTATTATTTTTGGTTTATTTTTTATTGGAAAAATGTCAAATAAGCCCCTAAATTTTACCCAAAAAGTCAATTAGGTCTTCAAACTTATAGAAATTGCAATTAAACCCACAAATATGTTATTTTAATTTAAAGCAATAAAACCCACTAACTTGTTGGTAACTTGTAATTGCAGGTCAATTAGGGTTCCAACCAACTTCGCCGAACCTCCGGCAACCATCCGACCAAATTCTGGCATAAAAGGACAAATACCAGCTACCGTTGATGGTCACCGATCGTGTTTTTCATAGTTTGTTGATCTGCTGTTGTTGTTATTTACACTTCCTTTATTAATCGAGTTTGTTAATTCGGACCACCCGGGTTGATTAAATCTATCAAATAAGTATTATTTCTGGTTTAGTTTTTATTTATATACTTTATTTTGATCATTTATTATTATTCCATCATTAATTAGTTTATAATTAATAGTACTTAAAAAGTCATATCCTAATAACAATTCATAAAAACTATCATATTCTAATACTCCTGTCTTTATATTATACTAGTAATTGTCCCGTGCGATGCACGGAAAATATGTTATAAAAATATACCCTATATGAGGTTTATTCATATATAAAATTTTTGTTCTTTAATAATTATTATGTGTGAATTCCTATGATAAAATTATGAACATAAATATATTTACAATTAAAATAATATTTAAGGTGGGTGATTACTACAAATCTTAAACTATATTAAAAATTTAGTACATTGTATTTAATATTACAAATTCTTAAGAACTTAGTAAACTACAATAGTAATTGAATTACAATTTTAAAGTCACCACGGATCAAAATTTTTAGACCTTTGAGATTTCTAACTCTAGATGTAGCAACATACAATTGACTTTTAAAGATCAAAATCATAATCTTAGTTCGAACATTGATTTTTTCTTCCAAATACTATCGAATTAAGTGTGTAATCAATAAAAGAAGAGAACTAATAATTCGAGAATATAATCTTAATGTTACTAAGTCACTTCACGTCAATTAAGTTGGAGAGTGTTGTTGGATAGTATCCGATGAATCCACGAATAACGCATCTTTGTCTCCGTAGTCCTCAATGTGCACATCAACAATCTTAAATATTAGGCCGCCTAGTTATGCCATATATTAATTTCAAACTTATGAACTTTGGGGTTGCATGCAATAAAAAGTATATTTTAAATATACTAAGGGTACATTATATATGTATGTAAGGTACTTTCAATATAAAAATATAAAAATAATGTATTTTTAATATATTAAAAATGTATTTGATATTCATGATCTATACAATTATGTGGACCATCGTTCCTCACAATAATTTGCCAGTAGAAATTGAAATATAAATAAATATAATAAATAAATAAATAAGTAAATATATATATATATATATATATATATATATATATGAAACTGTCCGTGGAAATTATTATCATTATTATTATTATTCCAATTATTATTATTATTATTATTATTTTTTTTTATTATTACTATTGTTATTATAATTAACAATATTATTATGGTTTTGTAAAAATTAAATGTTGATTATCAACATTTAATTTTCACAATAACAATATTATTATGGTCTTGTGAAAATTAAATGTTACACAAGACCATATGGCTTTATTATATATAGGATTTGAAAAAGCAGTAGAAATTGAAATATAAATAAATATAATAAATAAATAAATAAGTAAATATATATATATATATATATATATATATATGAAACTGTCCGTGGAAATTATTATCATTATTATTATTATTCCAATTATTATTATTATTATTATTATTATTATTATTATTATTATTATTATTACTATTGTTATTATAATTAACAATATTATTATGGTTTTGTGAAAATTAAATGTTGATTATCAACATTTAATTTTCACAATAACAATATTATTATGGTCTTGTGAAAATTAAATGTTACACAAGACCATATGGCTTTATTATATATAGGATTCTAAATCTTGTATTTTAAAAGTGGGTTTATTATTTCACAGTCTTTTTCATTTATTTTATTTATATATACAAACTTTTAATTAGATGTTCCTGGTGATATTACTGCTTTACTTTAGTAGCTACAACTCCTTTAAATATTACTACTCTTAGCTTATTTCTAGTTTATCATTAGAGGCAGGGTAAACTTATTAAATCTAATATTTTTAATTTCGTGTTTGTAATTTTAATTTGTATCTGATTTTTCTATTTGCTTTTTAAAGCTAAGCTTAATCTGGATCCTTCAATTTTAGACATGCTTCTAAGTACAGGTTGTAATGGTCTATTACTAAAATCCATGTATATTTCTTTTGGTATTGTTATTTTAGAATTTCCTTTATGTTCAAATGGTATTCTTTTTTTTTTTTTTTTTTTTTTTTTTTTTTTAATGTTCGAGTGGTCTTATGATTTCATTGTATAATTTAGGGATTACTATATATTCCTATCATTTTGTTTCCTTGTATGATTTCATTCTTAGGCAAGGCTTCAAACTTCATTATCACTGACACTAACTAAAATTTTGAAATTCTTTGCAATCTTAACTTGAAAAACCATTACCACATAGGACAAGTATGTACCATATTGCTCGCACGGATTCGGATTTAACTCACTAGTTTAGTAGACAATATTTAGGAAGAGTATATACCACAACTAGAAAGGGCATATTAACTATATAATTTGAGTACCATGGGCATATTAACTATTTAGTTTGAGTATCATTTAATGATCATATTCGATATACCTGCCTCCAAGACTAAGCGTCCATGACTTGAGGATCCAAACGTTCATGAACAATTCCATTAGCAAACCCACTTTATTTGTCATTGATAATTGCTCCTCTACCTTAAACCTAATCCTTTTTTTTTATATTTGAGAGAAATGAAAACTGAAAATGTATTTACTTTTCTAATTTAAAAACAGTGAATGAAGAATAAAGACTAATTAGATAAACAAACAGATCAGATAGTGCATTGTAACAAACTAACAGAGTCAGTAGTACAATGTTAATTCTTCTTAACAAATCCGAATTGATCTAGCTAAAATGTTCATTGTTCTAAAAAATCCGAATCCATCTAACTAAAAAATGACATAACCATAACTAGATAGACCATTACATCTCTGCCAAATACAACTTCAAATTTGATCAAGAGAATGACTGATCAAAAATATGGTCAATATGAAAATCCAAAGGCTGGTTGTAGATGATCTCCGGAATAAAAGAATCAGAGTTAATGAATTGAGCATCATTATAGACAGGGTCATTCCCAAACTCAAAGGTATCATAGAAAGTCATTTCATTGAGCGGGACTGAGAATCGCACCTCTTGGACCTCTTGGACCTCCTCACCTTCTTCATCTTGTTGAGGGGGAGGGGGAGGGGGAGATGCCTCATTTGCTTCAACATTACTCTCATCATCATCTTCTTTTTGTGTACTCCCTGCTACCTTGTCTGTTTTTTTGTAAATTCTACATAGAACCCAATCATCCAACTAAAACAAACAAGCAATATAATTAATTATTAGTCCAATAATAATCAAAGAACAGTGACACATAGATTACCAAATTAAAACTAGATTAGAAGAGGGTTTAGTATAGTATTATCTGTAATATAATTACCCTCATGGGATCAGCATTATCTCTCCTGGGTTTTGGAGTTTTAGCTTCTTTCACTGTGAACTCATGCATAATCCAGTTGGTCTTCTCACCCTTTGGAGGCCTCCCTTCATAGTAAACTAATGTCTTTTTGTACCCTATAACACCATGATCTCCATGTGTGATAGGCTTGTCAGCACCAGCGGCCTTCCAGTACCCATTCCCAGCAGCCCTATTTGGCCTTGTGCCATTCCTATACTTCCTATCCCTGGGAGTGAAGACATACAATTCCTCCTTTTCTCCCTCCGTTCTAGGGTACATATCTGCATTTTTAATTAGTGTTAATTAATGAGATTGAACAAATGTTTATATCATGAAAACAATATATAATGAAAACTAACTCATACTACATATACATCACCTGAAAGCTCAGCCGGACTATATTTGTAGAGGTTAACTTCTTGAATTTGATTGTAAGGTAATATACAGTCCATAATCTTCAGCTTATGAAGATATATGAGTTCATGATCAAAAGGACAAAACCTAACGCCGGGAGGGAAATCAATGGTTTTGTTGTTGTTAGGAAGAGGGTTGGAAGAGAAAGGTTCCATTGTTAGAGGTTGAGACGTAGAGAACTCAGAGAATTAGAATTTTACTTGTAATGCAAGATAATTATATATATATAATATAATTTCACCCTAAAAAGGATAATTACTAAGAGATATTTTCAAGATTTTGTTTTTATCTTTTACCCAACAGAGTGATTAAAATTATTATGAATTAGATAACTCATATCTATCCCATTTAAAATTTGAATTTAAACAGCATTTGATCTCTTAAAAAAAAGTACAAATTTAAAAAGCTGAGGTTTCATTCTGGTTTCATGCATCTTAGTCTACTAAATATATTTTGTAAAATAAATAAATAAACTAATTGAAAATCAATTACTAACATTAGTTTTTTTAACCGGCTTTACCAAAGCATCAAGTTCCCTAGGGCTGATAGGTATAATAATAAGGGTGTGTTTGGTTTGTGGGTTTTGCCTATAGGAATGAGTATGAAAGTGATTATTGTTGTTTGGTTGATAGGTTTTTAGAATATTACTATGGGTTTCAAATACCCCATCAATTGAAAAACCCATGCCCAAATGAAGTAAGGGTTTCATTCCCTTATTCATTCTTATTAGTAACCATTCCGATTCCACCCTACTACCAAACATGTTAAATACTTTCGCCAAAACCCATTTTAACGAAGTATTTGCAAATACCTATTCTGATTTTGATTCCTATGTGCAAACCAAACACACCCTAAGTAGATTAGCTTACAGGCTCAAACGAATAAGTTGCCCACAACTGTCTTTCAAGCTGGTTGACAGGCTCAAACCAGATTACCCATGGTTAACAATTGTCCTTATTGTTCTTGCATGCCCGATTGTTCATAGTTGACAAGCTCAAACCAGGTTGAGCATTGCCCATTCTCATTGGGCACATCTGACTAGGTTGTCAACAAACATTCCAGTTGCTCATAGGTTGCCCGGCCCACAGTTGGACAGGCTCAAACCATGTTGTAGAAGTAGACATAAGAGCTCTATCAGCCAGCCCACATAGAGTGACAAGTTCAAATCAGAGTCTAAATTTTTCATAGTTGATAGGATCAAATCAAGGTGCCTAAGTTTCCCACCGGTCTCAAATCAGGTTGCCTTTTCCTACGATTGACAAGTCCGATCCACAATTGACTGGTCAGTTGGCAGGCTCAAAGCCACTGGACAACCCCCATGGAAAGGGAAAGCCAATGAACATCTCTCAAGAAAAAGGAAGGCCAATAAATAGCTACCCACGGTTGCTATGAAGATAGCAAATAAATATACTAATATTAATTTGAATAAATATATCCCAACTATTTACACCATCTCACCCCTCTATATAATTAATTTGATCTATTCTCAAGTTTTTAATATAATCGAACAACAACAAAAGAAATAAATGAATGTAACATACTAAGTCTGTTCTACCCAGACCATTCCATCACTGGACTTAGATAGCTAGGTGGCTCGGTCATGAGAAAGATGCAACGCAACCCAGCCAAACCTTCCAGTACTAAATATGATGAGGGAAACCAGCGGACACTAAATAGGGCACACGGGCAAATCCCCACTCCTTAGCATTATGAACTAGAGAATGCAAACCGCACTGGTAGAGATATTATTCTACCTTAAATTGAAACCCACAGCTATTGATAGTATAAATGCAAACCGCACTGGGTAGATGTATTCTTGAATTGAAACCCACAGATACGATATTGACAGTACATTATGAGAGACTAGTAGCATTATTCAGTTTATTAATACATATATGCCTGCAGAATAATCATGACAATTGCTTCTCCTCCTTGATCACAAGAAGCATATATGCTAATGCTTATAGAAGACTGAGCGAGCGCACATTCGAGTAGCGATTGCGAGTTTTCCTGTAAATCAAAATATATATGGTGATCATCAAGGTGATGTACTGTAGCAAGGTTGGGAATGTTGGGAGACCTGAGTTATTCAGAATCTTTCTTTCTTTCTGTGCACATTTCTCTTAACTTTATCACTGCCGGTAGAATAAGTCAAATACTCCATAAGAGTTCTACTCCAACCTCACGTCTTTAAAATTTTCTCTGCAACAAAAAATGCTATTTCAATTCCCCACTAAAATTGCAATATAATCATTATTCTTACTCTTTACGTGCAAGTCACGTAATATTTATTAAGCTTTAATCGGTTGGTCCATCAAGATTAGTTATATAAGCATTCTTATAAGTTTAATTAAACAAAAACAAATTTTGATAACTCAAGTTTCCAGTTTTGTAGGATTATGTTTTAGATTCCATGAACGTAACTCCCCAATATATCATGCATGTTTCTATAAGATTATTAGGCAGCTAGGAGTCTAGCATGCATCCATGTCTTATACCCTCTTCTTCCTCATTACAAAGAGATAACAACGAAACATAAGATAATTACATAGATTTTCTCTAATATTTTGCCCAACAAATCCATCATGATAGTTTTACTATGCATCTAAGAACTCAAGTAATGTTGCATTTCTTTTCAAAATATATCTCTAAATAATATTTAACTCTTGATGTGCAATTTTTACTAGATCTTATTTTTTTTTTTTTTTTTTGAAAATAAAAAACTATATTAAAATTGTAGGCAAGGGAAGTCGACAAAATGGATCCGTAACTTCCGGAAAAGGATTGGCTCTGAGGGCTGGACACCGGTCCCAGTCTCGAACCCTTCGGCTGTTCGGCGGACTGCTCGAGTTGCTACCGCGGCAAGAGCGGGTCGCCGCATGCTGGCCGGGGACGGACTCGGAACGGCTCTTTTGGGGCCTTCCCCTGGCGTCGAACAGCCAACACTTTTTGGTTAAAACAAAGCATTGCGAACAAAGCATTGCGATGGTCCTTGCGGACGCTAACGCAATGTGATTTCTGCCCCGTGCTCTGAATGTCAAAGTGAGAAAAAAGTGTTTAATAAAATCAGGAAATGAAGATAACCAAGTAGACAGACCAGCTTGTGAATGGAGATCTTTTAGCTCAAGGTTCACAAGCGGAAACGGTTGGAACTTTTTGTTTAATGTTAAATTTAAATGCTTTACTATGTGATGGATCTATGGAAAGAATGTCAATGGTCTAAGCGATTTCTGAATGCTTACACATATTTCATATGTTCTGGAAACTTTATCTTTATTCATTTGGCCGGTAATATACACATCTTCATAGCATTATAGAACGTGATAGTCCTAATATTCTGTTAGTTATTCATGAGCTGTAATTCTTGGTTTACATCCTGGGCAGAGAATCCAGGCACAGACAAATCATGTTTTTTAATGTTTAATGCTTTTTTTCTCCAATTCGTTTTTTTTTTTTTTTTATTTATAATTTATCTATGTTGGAAGTGCTCTCATGGTATAATACTTTTTCCGCCTCAGGAAATGTTTCAATGTATAATGCTTTTTTATACACTTAGTAGAATCACAAGAATGTTTCTTGCCAAGTGTATTCAGTTTTAGCTGGATACAAAAGATGTGTATAGGAAAATCTCTGAATGAATGTTCATTGAACAAAAGCCATTTTTTGGAAAAGATAATGTGTCATTACTAGTGTGCATTGTGCAATGTCTGTTCTTCTCGCCTCTTGAAGTTAGATAGAAAAACATAGATATAGAGAGATGGGATACTAAAGTTGAGAGTGTTCTGTACAACTTGATGGCCATGAATTCTCCACTCACAAAGTCTGCAGAGTTCGTAAAGGGCTTGATGTCAAATGTAACTGGTAAGATATAACCGAATTGAATGAAGGGAAGACCCACACTTTGGCTTCCTGGGACTCTGACCATGCTGGTATTGCAACTCAGGTTGAATCTAGAGCTAAATGCGCGCTATAGTCATGCTTATATTTTGTAACCAGTTTATCTAGTCCATATTTATTCATTCACTAACTTTTAAAGTTTAAAATTCATCAATCTATTTATTCATTCAATAATTTTTTATTTTTGTTGTGCACCTAAATGCCTTTTCAGTTAGTTGTAGAAAGAATGCTGGCCACTGAAGCAGCGGCTATGTTTTCCTGTATGTGGATGGATATTTTTGTTCAATAACTTTGTTCTTCAGAGTTCAAAATCTTGATTTTATTTTGAAGTGAACTTTGACATCTAAAAAAAAAAAAAAAAAAAAATTAGACATTTGATTTTGGTTTTATGAATGAAAAAATTTTGGTTTGGACAAGTGATTAATTATGCAATACTTCTCTTATTACTGTATTTTTTTGCATAGAAGACTTTAACGGCTCATTAGCTTAGATAATACCGCAGCTCTTGTTATAAACTGATTGGAATTCTATGCTATTTTGAAGCATAGCACATTAGATTTTGTATAGGATTTTAAATAAAAAATTCAAGGAGTTTTAAAATCAATTAATTTATTAAAAATTATTTTTTATTTATTTTTTTATTTTTTAAACAGTATCCGCGACTGTTCTTTGTTGACTGTTCTTTAACAAAGAATAGTCACGGATTGTTGATTTAAAAAAAAAAAATAAAAAAAATGAAAATGCGACCGTTTCTAGCTTTAAATGGCCACGTATTACCTTAGAATTAAAAGAAAAATAAAAATAAATAAATACAATATGTCGCCCTTCTTGGTCTAGAATGGTCGCGTATTACTGACAATGTGAGACTATTGAGAAATAGTCGCGTAAAGTCCATGACTTTCCGGCCATAGGCAACTGTTTTACAACGGTCGCGTATGTGCAATTCTGTACTAGTGCTCACTGCTCTAGCTAGTATATGAGCCAGTGTGTTCGCTAATATCTGTATGTGATAAATAGACTGATGGGGTGTGAACCCCGTGGGCTCGAGGCCCAAAAAAAAAAGATCAAGCCCAGAAGAAGAGAAGCCCAAGAAGAAAATGTAGCAAGCCCAAGAATAGATATGGGCCAAACCGAGGAGTCGGCTCGACCCGGGAGTCGGCACGAAGGTCGGCCTAAAACTAGCCGTTAGCCTCTATTAAACTCTACCCTTAAAGTCCTATTTACTACCCTATTTATCTACCTCATCCATAACCCCCCA